GGGCACCACCTTCTTGCCAGTTATCTTGTACAGGAACGCTTTTAACTTGCATACTGAATATACAGAGGAGTCCGGGAAAAACCTGGAAGTCCTTGACCTCTGTAAAACCCATTATTTGTAGTTGTCTCTTCTACTTTTCTCTAACAAGTTTCTGTTTTTGTTAGCCGTAAGTTTGGTACAAGTGATCATTGGGGAGAGTTGTTTTTGATTCCAAATATTATTAGTAATCAGTTGTTAATTATAATTCATTTTTATTATATTAATTAATTGTCAATTAAAATTTTTGACCTAAATTTAGCTATTGATTTTTTATTAGTATTTTATTGTCTATTAGCTACTGATTTACTCTATTATTTAATATAATATCAGCCAAATATTCAATGATTAAATTCAAGTCAAATTAGCTATTTCATTTGGTGATCAAATTTCTTATATTTGACTAATAAATATAATGTTTAATGATCTATTATTTATTATACACCTGTAAACATATAAAAAGTTTTAAACTTGGTTTAGGCTACAAATAAATTAGTCTGAGTTTCTTTTTTTGCTATCTTAGAATATGAAGTTTAAATTTATTCTTTTTTCTGTATGAGTTATATTCTCTTTTTTTTGTAAGAGAGCTATATATTCTTTGCTTTGTAAGAGAGTTAAATTAAATTTAATAAAGACAGAGACATGATTTTACTATTAATTCAAAAAAAAAAAGTTTTAAACACTTATATATTATAACTTATGTATTAATATTCTTTATATTCTAAATTTTCTTTATTATAGTTTATAAATTGTTTTATTTTATTTATTTTTTTTTTAGCATGTCCTGCTACTGTTTTTATTAAGATAATAATTAGGCAAAAATTACAAGAATTTTTAATTATAGCTATTATTTCTTTAACTGCAGCCAGTGACTCATCCGATTTAAAAGCCTAGATGCAATATTGCTTAGTGACTGTTTGCCTCCCTTCAGACCCCTAATTTCTTAGAGATATGTATCCTTTGATCATTGGCTGGTGCTACATGCCATATCAGTATTATCTTTTCTACAAAATACAGATACAAAACAAAGAGCAGGAAAAAAAAAGGATAATACCTCAACGTCTAAATTCGATCCACCTAAACAAATAAAACCAAAAAACAAATAAAAAAAAACAAAATGAAAGAAAAGAAAACAAAGATAGCACTATTAAATCTATACCAGATTGTAAAAATTATATCTACTAAATAATCTAGTCTAAACTCTATACTAGTTATTTATTATCCATATTGAGATATATAAAATATCTATTTTTGAGTAGAGGCTAAGTTCGAAATTTCTCTTGTTGTTCTACCAGGTTTAGTATAGTATTCTGCAATAGAATATCATACTAAAGCTTGTCTTTAGGCAAAGTTAAACGACCTGCACTTTTCAGTATAGATCTCAATATAAACACTATAACTTCTTGAAGTAACTAATCATTCATTATTAATCTTAAAGTAAACATATACTCCTATATATGACTTTTTTTTTTAGCAGTAATTGTTGTTGTTGATCTTTTGATGGAAATTTGCTGACTTTTCTACTTTTTGTTAAAATTTTATAAAGAACAAAAAGTAGGGCTTTGGTAAAGGGTTTCAGTTTGCAAGTATCCTTAAACTTTGGTAGAGAATATGTTGAAAACTCGCTTGTTGTTCTTCTTAGACTAACTATTTTTAACTTCATCAGCAGAAACAGAGCTTCTATTAAAATTTTCTGTATAAGAGCATCACCTTCTCACCAGTTATTTTGTATAGAAACACTTTTAACTTGCATACTGAATATACAGAGGAGTCCGGAAGAATAGAAACAAAAATCTTGATCTTTGTAAAAACTGTTATTTGTAGTTGTCTCTTCTACTTTTCTCTAACAAATTTCTGTTTTCATTAACCATAAGTTTAGTATAAGTGATCATTGGAAAGAGTTGATGTATAAAAAATGTTTATAAATTGTTTTACCAATTTCTTAAAAAAGTTATACTATTAGTTTTCTTTCAATAACTTAATTATATTTAACAATCTTATAATTACAAATAGTTTTATAATTACAATATATATAAATAAGATATCTCTAGATGTAAGATTATATAAAAACTATTTTGTATAGTAACTGTTAGTACTTCTTCAAAGATAGAAACAGGTGTAATTTTTATTTTTTTACTTAAACTGTATAAATACTGAAAGTAATTACCAATCAAAGAGAGTTATCAAAAAATACTAAAATAATAATAATTTACACAATTGATAAATAATTTTTTTTATACATTTTACTAATTTTAAAAGCTTGGGTATCTTAATTTTCTGTAAACAAGAGTAAATTTAACGGATGAATTAATTTTTTTTGCTTTGCTTTATAACATATCCCGTGAATCTCACAACTTTTTTTTTGTAATCTGATTGGTTGATTTGCTAAATCTTGAAATATGATTGGTTAACAATCACGTATAATTGTATAGGAATCATCTACGAATTTGAAGAGGTCGTTTAAAGCCTGGCACCTTACGAAATTATCTAATTTTTCCGATTTTTAATTAATTAATATTAGGTTAGTGTTAGGATTTGATAAATGGTGGTTACATATATTAAAATCACATTTCTGATAGCCGTTTTTTATATATTTCGTGTTTTTGTCTTCGGACTGATCCGGGTTATATATCGGGTACTTTCGTAATGTGCCAGGCTTTAAACGACCCCATCCTTGTTTCCCATTCATACTGTATAAATCAGCTTTTTTATATAAGTTATTGAATATTTTGAATTTTGGCATGCCGCCACCACAAGCATGCCATGGTGGCATGCTTGTAACTTCCGTACCACTCACTCTACTCTAGAGCCACTTCAGATTTGCTTAGAGCTACTCCAGTTTTACTCCAGCATATTTTTAACCCACTCCAATTTGGGTTGGGCTCACTCCGGAGGGTAGTTTGAAGAATCGTGAACCCATTTACATCACATTTTATATAATCACATTAATAACTTCGTGTAGCATTGTACAATGGCCTTAGGGTTTGTACTACCTGCAAAATATGGTTGTATTACATAATGTGATTATATAGAATGTGATATAAATGGGTTCATGATTGTTCAAGTGTCCCAAAATTAAAGCATTTAAAAAATAAGCTTTGATGGATTATTTCTTATTGCATACGCGGTTTAATTCAAGTGTAATTTCTTAGCAATAAATGAATGGCAATGCTTCAAAGTACAGTATGGTGAAATCGAAAAAAATAGAGAAAAGCGTCCAACAAAGTACACCTCAAGTTGTTGACAGAGGTGATCTTTACAAGAAATTTACAAAGGAATTCTTCATTTCAACGCGAAATCAAAATGAAGAGCAGGATTTTAATTTGGTCAGATTATATAATGAATGGAAGAGTACATACTTCTTACATTAAAGTCATTAAATTGACAATTATTTAAATTCTAAACATAACGAAAATTTGAAATTTTCATAAAAGATCAAATTCCAAATGCTTAAGATAGTATTGAGTCAGCTATATTGTACGTACAAAAATGTTTTTAGAAAAGGGAATGCCAAAGTCGTGCATAGGCAAATTTTGTGTAAATAATGCAAACTTACTTTGTCGGGACATTTTTTCTCAACTTCTTTCAGTAAATGGTTGGTCATATGACCTGATTTCCTACATATTTATTTCGTATCCAAAAATTAAGGTAAACTCTAGAAATGTAAATATAGATAATATCAAAGGTAATTTACCAGAATAGAAAAATAAGATTATTTTCTTCAATCCTTTCAATCCATCCAACACGGTCAACATCTTGTTCCCAATCTAAAGAATAAAATCTATCCTCTGAATGAGCTGAGTCAGGATTTTCATAGAAACTAACAACTCTGGTATTCTCTTCGTGCGTTGGAGAGCTAGGTTTAAATTCAGGTGCATATTGGAGTTCTTCTTCAGAGCTACTACTTTCTAAATAAAGTGATGTCATGCTTTTCTTTTTTTCCCTCAATAGCTTTTGAATTCTTGAACTCGATTTAATTCTAAGATTATCGGACTTTTTGTTCGTTGATGAAAATGCAGGATCTCTCGTTCGTTTTCTCAATGCCCGTCGGGTCCTTGATGAATCTGTTTTACCATTCTTACAATCCCAATATTCTTTAACTAATTTCGTAGCATGCCTATTAAAAATATAAATAGATCATATGAGAATACATTATATTTAAACAATAAGACATTTACAAATTTAATTTTTTTTAAATAAATTGCATCACATTTACTTAATAATTGTAGA